ATCAATGTAAAGTTTAGGTAGCCAATGCAATTTTAAATGCACCGATTCAAGTATATTATATCATAAATCAATCTTTACTATTTTGAATTCTATAAATTTTAATTTGGCTCTAATACCAATTGTTAGGTTTTAATTAAATTAATCCATGTAGAAATCAAGAATACTTTAATTAATTAAAGAGTAATTTAAACTCGTAATTGATTGATAATTAATGCACATATACCTTTAGAATATCCATATAATCTTCTAAATTTTTGTAAAATATTAGAGCGCTTTACCCCCTTATATATAACAAGAATAGAGGACGACTTCTTTACAAACAAGCATAACCTAGGTCTCCTTTCTTATCATGAAAACTTAGATATTAATACAAAATTGGACAGTACAACCAAATCTATCAAGCATCCATAATCATGTTGCAATCTTATTTTAAAAAACTTAGTGAATAGTACCATAAAATAATTTTTATTATTTATATATAAAATTTCCAACAGATTATCCTATTTTTTTAAGTCAAAACAGTATTCTTGAAACCCTTTATCGGTTAAACGTCGGCGGTAATACCGTCAACGTTAACGATGACACCGGCATGTTTCGGACGTGGGAACAAGATGACTTGTACATAATTAGTGGTAGTTTGGGGGTGATACCTCGCAGGAATGGTCCGATCCACTACAGTTCGGCAACACCGGCTTACACTGCACCTGAGATGGTTTATAATAGCGCAAGGAGTTTTGGTGTCGATTCGGGGTTTGATTAGTTGTATATAATTAGTGGTAATTTGACATGGAGTTTTGGTGTCGATTCGGGGTTTGATTATCTTGTGAGACTTCATTTCTGCGATTTTACTGCGGATAGAACTAAAGAGAATCAGAGGGTGTTCACTATATATCTTAACAATCAGACGGCTGAGGATAAAGCTGATGTAATTTTCTGGAGTGGTGGTAATAGCATTCCGGTTTACATAGACTATGTTGTGCAGGTTCCGGAAGTTGGTGGTCGCTGGATCAAGCAGGACTTGTGGCTCGCGATGCACCCTAACGTTGAAGACCAAAATAAAATTTATGATTCGATTCTGAATGGTTTGGAATTGTTCAAATTGAACCAATCTGACGGTAGTCTCGCCGGGCCAATCCTGATATTGTGGAATCTGAAACACCCGAACCCAACCCGAGCACGAAGTTACCGTTGACATCTACTGGTAAACGCTCGTTGCCAATTTGGATGGTTGTGGGAGGTGTAATTGGAGGGATATAGCAACGTCAGTTCTGGGTTACGTCATTTTCCCGCAACGGAGAAGAGTCAAAGACTTTGGCACAATTTCAGTGGCGTCAAGGTCAACGGGGTCAACGGAGTATCATGTTTCATCACTGCCGTCTGATCTCTGCCGACGCTTCTCGCTCGGCGAGATTAAATCAGCTACATGCAACTTTGACGACAATTTTGTTATTGGCACTGGAGGATTTGGTAATGTGTATAAAGGGTTCATGAATAATGATACTGCTCCTATCGCGGTTGCGATCAAATGGTTGAGTCCTGGAATCAAGGCAAGGGGCCCACGAGTTTCAAACGAAGATCGTAATGTTCTCAAAGCTCAGACACCTCCATTTGGTGTCTCTGATTGGTTACTGTGTTGATGATGGTGAGATGATCTTGGTGTATGATTACATGGCCCATGGGACTCTCCGTGATCATCTCTACAAATCAAACCACCCTCCTCTCTCGTGGAATCAACGCCTTCTGATCAGCATAGGTGCTGTACGTGGATTGAACTACCTTCATACTGGTGTAAAGCACACATCATTCACCGCGATGTAAAATCAACCAACATTTTGTTGGATGAGAAATGGGTGGCCAAAGTTTCTGATTTTGGGTTGTCAAAAAAGGGTCCCATTGGGATGTCCCATGTGAGCACCGAGGTGAAGGGTAGTTTCGTGTATTTGGACTTTGAATATTACCGACTTCAACAATTGACACAAAAGTCTAATGTGTAGTCGTTCAGAGTGGTATTGTTGGAAATGTTGTGTGCTAGGTCACCAATTGTTACAAGCTTACCAAGGAAACAAGTGAATTTGGCGGAGTGGGGCCGGTGTTGTTGTCGAAAAAGGAACCTTGATCAGATCGTGGATCCACATCTGAGGGGTCAGATTGCACCAGAGTGTTTAAGGAAGTTCGGGGAGATTGCTTATAGTTGCTTGCGTGATCATGGGATCGAACGGCCATCAATGAATGATGTTGTGTGGGGGCTTGAGTTTGTATTACAGTTGCAAGAGGCAGCTAATAAGAATATCAACGGTGGAGACGAGTTTGGTAAGAATCATGTGATGGGTACGTATGGGTCCCATATTAGTCCCCTTGTTCCTCTTTGTGGATATGGAGACACAACCACGATGGATGATGAGGACGGGGATGTATTTTTTAGACCAATTGGATACGTATCTAGTTTAAAGGGCAGTGATTATATCGACGGTGTGTAGCTTATGCGATCCAGGCTAGACCTAAGTAGGTTGGTCGTCAAAACTTTTTCTTTCTTTTCCTTTTCTATTAATGAAATGCAATAATTGAGTTCTTAACCTTACCCCAATAATGATGGCCCAACTAGGTCCAAAAGCAAAAATTTAAATAAGACCAATTCGGATCAGATAGTTTGGTTCAATTTACTAATAATTTGGTTCGATTTTAAATTTGTTAGATCTAATTGAATCATTATGTTGTATATATATATATTTATTTATATATGTTAATTTATACAATATATATATATAAATAATATAATATAATCCTATAATCTAAATTACTTAGAAGTTTTTAACAACTATCAATATTGTGATTCACTTTTAATTTTTTTTAAGTATTATTAATTTATTAGATGAATATTTTTTATTTTTTATTTCGATTTGCTCTTAAAAAGGAAAACCAAGAGCACACGAGATTCCGCTTACATTTACGTTGTTTTATTATTATTATTATATATCATATCTTATTGATCATGGGTCGAATCATTTTGTGACTAATAAAGGCCCTAGTTTTGCTTAGAGAAAGTCCACTGATTGTTGCACCTTATTACTCCTATAACTTTTTTTAATCGGAGAAAAAAAAAAAAAAAATCTAGTTCGTCATAATTAATATCACTGTAACTGTAGCTTCAACTTTTTCATTATTCACTTCTTTGATTGCTTGCACTTTGTCAGTGCACATTTTTTTTTAGGTAAGTTCTTTGTCAATGCACTTTTTGCAAAAACAACTAATCTTCTTTTTATAGGAAAATTGAATGCTAATCTACAAAGTTTGCCCAATTTATTAATTCTAGAATATCAATATTTATGTTTGGGGGTGAGGGGAGAATAATAATTTTTTGTTTTGTAATTTTAGTGGGGCAGTATTAAAATTTCAATTCAAAAAAGAAAAAATTACTAGTATATAATACTAGGGCAATTGCCTCACTTATGATATATCAGGTGCGTCTTGATAGGTTCAGTTGACTAGGGCAAAATTCTATCCCTTGAACCTTGTTGGAGACATCACTTCATAAAGACAAAGTCATGTGATTGTTAAACAACAAAATAGACAAATTTTTGGATTTAATGGCAAGTTAATTAGAGATAGAGATTTTCTACATTGGAGGATCACATGCATGATTGGAAATTTGGTTTCACACACTGACGTTAGAGAGAGTTTTCAAAATTCAAGGATAACTTGGGAAATATTCAATTTCTTTTTTCATAATAATTTATCAATAAATTACAACTATTAAATTGAAAAAAGAGACTTTATTTTGAGAGTGACGCGGGAGAAACAACTTTGTTTTCACGATTAAAGCACGGACCCATGTCCTAATATGTAATGTGGACTTGTGAGTCTTCACCTCACTGCTGTCAAGTGGTAGGGACTAGTCTAGTCTTTATCTATCAACCCTAATGGGAGGGACAGCGGAAAAAAAAAACCAATCAACTAGTGTGTGGTTGTTTTAGAAAAAGGTTAACAAGAGAATTAATTATTGAGAATACATTGTTATAGATTTACCGAGAAGAGATAGAATTAGAGAAAGATCAAACAATAGTGAGACAGAAAATAGTAAAGTGATTTTTATTTTTATATTTTTTCACTTGTCAGGTACATCTCTTAAACAAAGTTCACATGATATCTATATAGCTTCAAAAATGGACTTCTTCCGTAAACTAAGTAAAGAGCTTCTCTTGTAAGCTAGATAACGTGTTTTCATTGTAAGTTAAGTAATGAGCTTCTTTTATAAGTTAAGTAAGGAACTTTTCTTGTAAGCTAGATAACGAACTTTCTTTGTAAGTTAATTAATGAGCTTCTTTTATAAGTTAAGTAATGAGTTTCTCTTGTAAGTTAATATGAGTGGACCCATTTATATACATATATATGTATATCAAACATACATCATTATTTTTAATCTCTATGTATTTTATACATTAAAATACATTTAAATCTTTGCTTCCTCACACAAAATTAGCATAAATCTCAATGCATTTAGTACGTTTATTCTACATTTGTATTTCTTCATTGAAAATAAATGTAAGTGCGTTAAAAAATGTTACAATACGTTATAATCATGATTCGTCTCTTTTTGTCCGACAACTAACTCGTTCGATCAACTTACACGGATATTAGTCCAAACCTATTCAACGGGGATTGCAACCAATGCTACAACCATGGTTACACATTCATCAGAGGATCTAGACTTCGTGTAAACAACAAAATGAACAGGTTACATCCCCAATTCAATGCTTTACAACTTGCATTATTGGACTCAAAGTGGCACTGGCCCATATGGTGGTGCTACAAAACTAAAAGAATAAAGTGTTTTTAGCCACCAAGACCCCAGTCAACTAGTAAAACAAAAAGCATAGCCTTTCATTTCTTATCCAAATTAAAAAAATAGACTATAGTCTATAACTAATGCTAGCTGACTGGCTTTGTCCACCCACATACAGAAACTCATCTGAATTAAAGAGAGGAAGAAGAAAAAGAGAGATATGGGAATTGAATTGAAGAGTCCATATCTCTACTTCTCTTTCACTGTTGTACTTGTTTTCCTCAGCACAAGCACAAGCACAAGCATAGCAGATTCTGGTGAGGACACCAAGAACACGATGATGATCAGCTCCGATCAGTGCAACGCCAGCATAGGTGAATGCTTCACAGATGAAGAGGAGTTCATGGAATCAGAAGTGAGCAGAAGAATTCTTGCTAACACAGGCAAATACCTTTCATATAGGGCTGCAGGTTCGAGGAATCCGGTGTGTGATTCAACAAAAAGATTTAACTGCGGGAAACGCAGGAATGAGTATAATCGCTGTACCACCTACGACCGATGCAGTCGCCGTGGTTGATGGTGTGTGTGTGGTCGGGTCGAATCATCGTCGTCCTCATCATCATCATCATCTTTGCTTTAATCTCATATAAATTAAATTGAATCGCGCTGAATTAAATTAAGAGTATGGCTTTCTTTTGTGGTTTAATGTTTCTTTTTACTTTTTAATTTCAAGTGGTTTCTTCTTGTATATTACTGTATGCATTTTGTTCTTTGAGTATAATAATAAAATGTCTTTCCTTCTCTTCTCAATAATTCAATACAGTCACTTTCAGAGAAAATAATACAATATCTTCTATAAGTCCATTCAATTTTTTTTTCTCCCACCGAAACAAGCACAAGGCTTACATATCTGGCACATGAGCTTTGATTAGCATTTGAAATTTCAACACCTATATTTCTGCTCTTATGATTGTTATATTTAATTTTGAATTTTACCAAACTACTTAGCCACGCTAGCTAAAAGAAAAACACTTTGAAACAAACAGACCACTAGTGAAGGTTGAAATTGGAGGTCTTACCAACTACTAATTTTCAGTTATTAGAAGAACAATGAATGATCAGTACGTTGAGGCATTGTTTATGAATTTATGAATCCTATGTTCCAAAGCGGTAATAATTATTCAGATATAGACTTACCATGTCAATGTAGTAACTTATTTTAGATTTCCGTTATGAGAGGAACAAACAAGCTATCTCACGACAAGTTCATCTATAATAATGGATGTCCAAATGTAAAATATCATATCAAATTGCAGTTGGTGTTGCTCGGGGCTGGAATATTTACATCGAGGTTGCAACACAAGGATTCTTCATTTCGATATAAAACCTCCCAACATTTTTTTTGTCCAAAAAACGCTATTTGTTTCTTGCTAAATTGGGCTAGAGAAAACAGAGTATTATGTTGATGGTGGTGCAAAAGAAACTGTTTGATAACCCACTTGTTAGTTGGTTATTGCTGACAGTTAAATGGATGTTTCATAACACACTTACACAACAGAAATATCATCACAATCTCCACTGCTTAAAAAAAAATTTCGTCCTCGAAATTCAGATCCAATAGTTTTCGTAGAGCCAAAAAAAAAAAAAAAAACAGAAATATCATCACCACATTAATCAACAAACATATATTGAGATAATAATCATACGCATTCACGCATAATACAATATTTTATATAATTCACAAAACTCTAGGACTTTGTCCATGAAGAGAGAAATTTTAATATTATAATTAAAAAATAGAATATACAACCCGATATCAAAACCCCCACGCACTCTCACTCGTCACACTTTTAATACTACATCTTTATACTCCGAAATTACGTATATTCCGCCCTCCTTATAACACTCACAAACCCCTTACATCTTTCCCCATATCATCTCTCTACCAAAACTCATCTCTATTTATTGAGTCTTCAAAAACATTTCCTTATTAGACAATAATTTCACAACTTGTCTACAACGAGTTACATAATAATCACAATTCCAAAATAACATCTTGACAAAATCACCATTATGGAGCTCACTACCAAAGATGAACAAGTTCCCAAAAAAAATGATTTGATCCATTTGGGGTCACTAATTTACCTAACACACCGCAAGTGAACATGTCCTTCTTCTGCACATGAATTCAATCCACAAACCCAATAATCTCCACCTTGGTTTGAATTCAATCTTCACGTACTACCCTGATAGCTTCACCTTGATTGAAGATCTCTTCAACTTGAATAAAACGCCATGATAAATTTGATAAACACTACATACATTGATGTATTTTTTTAGGATTTTTGAAGGGTGTTCCGTAAGTCTGTTGTTTACAGCTATGCAATGATAGTTCTTGAAATTGTTGATGAGTAAAATGATATTGAAGCTGGAACAGTCCTTTTCCGACTACATTTACGAGCAAGGGGAACATAATAAGGATCTTAATGGCATTAAACCTAATTGAACGGAAGATAATTTGCATTCTGGCGTTGGAGAATAGACAGAGTTTGTTGTGCAATAGCAGTGTGCTTGGTGCGGCAATTTCTGACGGTGAATAGTGCAACGACGAAAAGGAGAGATCAGTTTGGCGAGTATGCGAAGGTACAATCTTACACCACTATTTCAGATTTTCCAACAGGTGTTTAGAAGGATTATTTGTTATAGGAGTCGAGATTATTACTTTATTTGATTCTCTCTTGTTGATTGATGTATAAGTTAGGGCATAAACTTGAGAAAAATCTATGTACGTGAGAAAAATCATTGAAAAAAAAAATTATGGATATGATCGAATTTAAAAACCATACAGAAGAAAATTCGCTACTTTGTAAGCCAGTGAAAAGTATAAAAGTGAATAACAATTCTAATATTATGTGTCTGGTTTTGAAATCATATTTTTTCATTTGATATTTGTTCCAATCTCAAGGATCCATTGTAATTATTTCTTTAAATTTTTATTCAAAGTGCCGGAACAAGGACGACTTGACTTCTCCGTCAACCAAAAAAACAAAATGTGGAACCCTACAATTGGCCCACCAATAATTCGATTCAAAAGCATTGCTATCTACAGTATATCCAAGATGGTCCTGCACATGAATTTCATTCACGTCTCTCTCAAAGCACTTGAAGATTATTCATGATCTCAGTAAAAAAAAAAATTGATCTTCAATGCATCAACAATCTGTCCACCATATGTCTATATATGCTCTCTATCTGGTAGCGTGGAAATAATGTGAAAGGGTAAAAAGAAAGAAAGAAAAATCACTTAAACTCAGTCCTTTGTTAGATAAAAATTAATGGCGAAAAGCAAAATAAAAAATAGTAAACTGAATAAAGACAAATAAGTTCTTGATTAGGCCAAGGAATTCTTTTTGTAGAAGGTTAAAGAAAGTGATCATTTTCTGATTGGGTAAAGTCTAAAAAACACTTTCCTAGTTTTGATTTGGTGCTGATTACACCTCTTTAGTTTATTTTGTCCATATAAATTCCCCACTAAACACTACAATGTTGCAACTAATCACCGGTCAGATTTTTGGTAAAGAATGGGGTTAGTAGGTCTTCTAAAACAGTAAAATCCAAAATTACCCCTCACCATACTCACGGGCGCCCTCATATCTCTCCATATTCACGGCCCTCACATCTCTTCTTCCTCACTGTCACCACCCACACCATTCTACAGAGCTCCTTGCTCAATCCAAGCACATCGATGACAGTCCATCATCGATGACAAGGTCTATTCCGAACAGTTCCTCATCGTCGGTATTCGATCCTCCCCAATTTGCTTGAAGAGAGAATGGCGAAGGCAAGCTCGAAACGGCGATGGCGAGCTTGGAGCAAAGACGGCGGGGTAAACCCACTTTGATCTCTTTCTAAGCGAATACCCTAAATCTTAGTGACAGATGAGTGAAAATTTCACAAATAGATGAAGAAAAAAGAATTAAATTCAAATCCAAATCTTAGAGAGAGAGGTGGCGGTTGCCAATGAACGGCGGTGATTTGTGGCAGGAAGCGGCGCCGTAGCGGAACAGATCTAACTCGAACATGTTTATTGTCACCTGCATGGCTGAGCACAACCACCCCATGCCGACTCACCGGAATTCACTCTCTGGCAGTCCTTATGAACTCATATTTCTTACATATTTTATTCCCAAAATCATATTTATTAGTACTTAATTTAATTTAATTAATTAATTAATTAATGTTTTTATATTTTTAAATTATTAGGGATAAAAGACCAATTCTGGAATAAAACTGGAAACAAGTGAAGGTTGACTACATTGTAAAAGAGATTATATATTTTTTCAGTCAACATTGAGCATGAGCAAAGCTCCAGAAGAATTAGTTGGGTCTTATCCTTACATTTAAGAGGATTTGGAATTTTTGAATCTTAAACAAACAAGTGCCACATCAGCAGCGTTTCGTCAGCAGCCAGGTCCGCCATCCAGCCACATCATCACCGGCCTGCAAAGCGCCACATCATCAGAATGTATCATATAATGAATATATATATATATATATATATATATATATATGTATGTATGCATTGTGCACGAAACGGGATAAGATCGAGAAAGTAAAAGGAAAGATAAAATAAGAACGAAGAAAAGAGAATGATGGGGGAATGGATTGTGTCAGCCGAAAGCAAAAGGGGAGTTTCATTTATTGATTTCTACTTATATGATTTTAATATATTTGGTTTTCACTTCTCTTTAATTATTTTAAGTTTCTTTTATCATTAATATAATATATTATTAGTAATTAGAAATTATTATAATTAATCCTTATTTGAGTAATAATTTTTGATCTTGTGTTTTTCATTAAGTTGGATACATTTGATGCTTTGAATATTACTATTTTAAGCGAAGAAAAATCTAATCTTGAATCAGGAAGTAGCAGAGTGACACTGGAATTGTTTCTCTTACCTTTGGAAATTGATAAATGAAAAATTAAAATTTTATGAGGTTAATGGTGGTGGAATCCTATACCTTAGTATTTTCTTTAAATTGATTTCAATTGTATTGTTTTTATTTCTTGCATGTTAGTATAACAAATCCATTATTCAAATCAAATTGGTAGATTACACTTAAATTAGTTTTGATTCATATTAGTGTTTTTTTAAAAGCATTTATTTGGGTTCGACCTCATTTTTGTCGATCATATCTATACTCCAATAAATTCATGCGCTCGCGAATTACATTTTATTTTAAGCATCAAGTTTTTGACGCAAAATAAATTCTTGATTAGGCCATGAAATTACTTAAACTCAGTCCTTTGTTAGATGAAACTTAATGGCGAAAAGCAAAATAAAAAATAAATTCTTGATTAGGCCAATAAAATTTTTTCCGAAAGGTTAAAGAAAATGATGATTTTATGGTTTGACCAATATAAAACTTGTGCTAAAAGAGAGGGTATTAGTGTAAGTTCATATAACTTTTTACAAAAATTAAAATTTTCATATATTTTTTAAATTTAATTTTATTAAAAAATTAGATGATTATGAAAGTAATTTTCTCTTACTCCGTCCTTGACTCCTGTCATTCACTCGCACCTTCCCATCACCACCTGCGGCTCCAAATTGCTCCGTCAATGCTTCTACCCTCAGTCTTGACCCAATCCAATACTTCTTTCTCCTGTGTCGCCTAGAATCACTAACTCATGCTTCTATATAATAAACACGACCTATGTATTAAATAATTTATTTAAATTATTATATATTTCAAAAAATTATTTTAATTTAATAATTAAATATAAAATGTTCATGACCCTTCTAATAAATAAGTTTACAAGTAATGCTTTTAAGAGAATTTTTTCACCATGAACTCTTCATTTTAATTCATAAATTAAAAGATAAAATTGAATAATTTATTTATTTCAATTCAATAATTAAATATGAATAATTCACTACAGAATTGTATCTATCTAGAGCGTTACTATTTTGGAACTGTTGCAATATTTATAAATGCTTTATTTATATACACCCCGTAATAGTTCTCACATTTTTCTTCTTCCGAAGATAAATAACCATCTAAAACATTTTTGTTTTGTTCTATTTTTGTTTTTTTTTTTTTTATTTAATTTTTTATTCACATTTGTCAAAAAAAAGTTGAAATAATTTAGAATGTTGGGTCCAAAATCGCACATCTAAATTGACACTCAAAAATATCGATCTATATATCAATCCCAACTCAAAGACTATGCACCAAGACTCTTCATTGCACTCAACATAATTCACTTCCCAATCAATAAATTCCACGATTACTTACCACCAATGCTCACCTTCACTCTTTACCTCTTCACCGTCCTCCTCCTCACCACCATCGCCACCACAGCAGCACCCTACACTCCCACCTTTTATGTCCTCCTCAACTGCGGCTCCTCCACCAATACTACCGACTCCAACGGCCGCAACTGGGACGGCGATGTCCTCTCCAAATTCTCACTCTCCAACACCTCACCAAACACTTCTTCACCCTCCACCGCCTCCCACCAAGATCCCTCCGTCCCCCAAGTCCCCTTCATGACCGCCCGCATCTTCCACTCCCCATTCACCTACACCTTCCCTGTCACCGCCGGCCCCAAGTTCCTCCGCCTCTACTTCTACCCCACCACCTACTCCGACCTCGACCTCGACCCCACCCAATCCTTCTTCTCCGTCACCTCCAATCACTACACTCTCTTAAACAACTTCAGTGCCTTCTTAACCGTTTCTTCAATCAAACCACCGGTTGCTTCCCTCATCAAAGAATTCATCCTCAACTTCAGAGACAACCAAACACTCCTTAACATAACCTTCTCACCATCTCCCAACTCTTACGCCTTTATCAACGGTATCGAACTCCTTTCCATGCCGGATAAGCTCTATATGCATGGCAATGATGAAGCCATCACACGCGCCGGTGTTGATTATCCCTATTATTTTGATAGCAGCACAGTTCTTGAAACCCTTTACCGGTTAAACGTCGGCGGTAATACCGTCAGCGTTAACGATGACACCGGCATGTTTCGGACGTGGGAACTAGATGACTTGTATATAATTGGTGGTCTCGGGGTGTCAACTCGCGGGAATGGTCCGATCCACTACGGTTCGGCAACACCGGCTTACACTGCACCTGAGATGGTTTATAACACCGCAAGGCTTATGGGCAACCTAAGTTTACACTACAATTTGACATGGAGTTTTGGTGTTGATTCAGGGTTTGATTATCTTGTGAGACTTCATTTCTGCGATTTTACGGTGGACGGGACTAAAATTAATCAGAGGGTGTTCACTATATATCTTAACAGTCAGACGGCTGAGTATAAAGCTGATGTAATTTTCTGGAGTGGTGGTAATAGTATTCCGGTTTACAGAGACTATGTTGTGCGGGTCCCGGATGTTGGTGGTCGCCGGATCAAGCAGGACTTGTGGCTCGAGATGCACCCTAACGTCGAAGACAAACCTGAATTATATGATGCAATTCTGAATGGTGTGGAATTGTTCAAATTGAACCGATCAGACGGTATTCTCGCCGGACCTAATCCTGATTTGGTGGTATCTGAAACACCGGAACCGAAACGGAAGATACCAGTGACATCTACCGGTAAACGCTCGTTGCTCATTGGGGTGATTGTCGGAGGTGTAATTGGAGGGATAGTAGCAATGTCAATTTTGGGTTTCCTCATTTTCCGGCGACGGCAAAGAGTGAAAGATTTTAGTAAAAGTGTGACCAAGTCATCGTGGGTCCCAATTTCAGTGGCGTCAAGGTCAACAAAGTCAATAAAGACGGTTGCATCGCTGCCGTCCGATCTCTGCCGACACTTCTCGCTGGCGGAGATTAAATCCGCTACACGCAATTTTGATGACAATTTTGTTATTGGCACCGGAGGATTTGGTAACGTGTATAAAGGGTTCATAGAAAATGATACTGTGGTTGCGATCAAACGGTTGAATCCTGAATCAAGCCAAGGGGCCCACGAATTCCAAACTGAGATCATAATGCTGTCTAGGCTGAGACACCTTCATCTGGTGTCTCTGATCGGTTATTGTGCAGATGATGGTGAGATGATCTTGGTGTATGATTATATGGCCCACGGGACTCTCCGTGATCATCTCTACAAATCAAACAATGCTCCTCTCTCGTGGAATCAGCGCCTTCAGATCGCTATCGGTGCAGCACGTGGATTGCACTATCTTCATACTGGTGTGCAGCAGATGATCATTCACCGTGATGTGAAATCAACCAACATTTTGTTGGATGAGAAATGGGTGGCTAAAGTTTCTGATTTCGGGTTGTCAAAAATGGGTCCAGTTGGGATGTCCAAAAACCATGTGAGCACGGTGGTGAAGGGTAGTTTCGGGTACGTAGATCCAGAATATTATCGACGACAACAATTGACGGACAAATCCGACGTTTACTCATTCGGTGTTGTGTTACTCGAGTTGTTGTGTGCGAGGTCACCTATTATTCCGAGCTTACCCAAGGAACAAGTGAGCTTGGCTCAGTGGGGCCGTTATTGTTATCGAAAAGGGACCCTTGATCGGATCGTTGATCCAAGTGTGTGGGGTCAGATTGCACCAGAGTGTTTAAAGAAGTTTGGGGAGATCGCGAATAGTTGCTTGCATGACTTGGGGATCGAACGGCCATCGATGAATGATGTCGTGTGGGGACTTGAGTTTGCATTGCAGCTGCAAGAGACCGCTGATAGAAATATCAACGGTGGAGATGGATTTGGTAAGATGCAGGTTGGTGGGTCCCTTATGAGTCCTGTTCCGCTTCGATATGGAGAGGTAACCACAACCGATGATGACGATGACGTGTTTTCTGGATCAACTGAACACGTGGCCGGTTCAAAAAGCAGTGGTGTATCATCGGTGACTAGTGCTGGACAGAACGTTGATAAATTTAAGATTGAAAATGTTTTTTCTGAGTTGTTGAATCCCAATGGGCGGTGAATTAGTTAGAATGTGTGGGACAATCTTTCCATGAATTATAGATTTTTATGTTTTTAGTCAAATCTTATGTGGGTTCATTGTAGGGTTCCGATTTTGTCTACTAGATTGACTGAAAAGTCAAGTAGTCCACTAGTCCCGTATTTACATTTGTGGTGTTGAGTCATTCTGTATCGATGTAAAAAAATAATGATAATAATAAAAAAATAAATATTATGTATCAACTTATGAATAATAATAATAAAAAAAAGATTAAAAGAATTACAAAATATACGATTTTCCTTTAATCTATTTCTTCCTGAATCATAGTTTGTAAAGTATCAACTTATAGGAGACATTTTTTGAAGTTTAATATACGATTTTTATTGATCAATTTATACTGATTTTGTTCGAATTTGTTACATGCGATCGCCATCGATATTACAACCATGATTGATATTGTGAACACAAAAAATTATGAATATATTTGCGACGTGTTTTATTTTTCATACAGAGTATTTTTGTTTATGTTGGGTTTCGTAACATTGAACGGTGAAAAGAAATGTTTTTGATTAAAAACGTTTTATTTTGTACCGTATAACAACGTTTAGTGAATAATATTCAAAAATCCAAATATATTTTTACATGTTGCTGCACTGTAGCAATAGTAGTACTATAGCAATAAACAATACCAAATAAATAAATAATTAAATAAATCTCTAAAGTGAACTTTTTAAACTAGCTATCATATTTTTAAAATTTGTAATACTTTTTTATCAAACATATTTTTATATTTAAGCTTCCAAAGAACATACTTTCAATTACTATTCAAAACACTATATAACAAAAAGACTAATTTTATTTCGAATTTAAATAAAAATGAATAAAATAAAACATGTAGCTTCTTATTTGGACGTTCTTCAAAGAAGGCAAATGTAATTTCTTTATCTTTTGAATTAAATTTTTGTGGGTCCATTTTAGGTTTGGGATTTTGTCTTTTAAGTTGATTGGAAAATGAAATCGTCCTTATATGATATATCTCCTTATATATTTTGTTTTGAGTCTTTTGACTAGTTGCAGAATTACAAAATTTTGTTTTGTTTTCTTTTGAGTAATTATGATTTATTTTTGTAGTGAATGAATTATTAAATTTATTTATAATAAGTCCACATAAATGTGATTTAATTTAATTTTTATAACTCCAATGCAAAAAAATTAAATTGATAAAGTTATAAAAAAAAATAATATTTTGACTTTTTAAATGGAACTTGGGACAATCAAATATGAAAAAGTGGATGTGATCAAGGGAATAGAATTTATTCTTCAAATTTTAATTTTTTGTATTTGAAAAAAAATCATCTAATATAAAAGTGATTATAATTGTAATATGCATTGAAGTTACAGATCGATAAATACTCTCTCTCTATCCTGAATTTTCAACACACATTCATATAATAACTTTGAAAATCTTATTAATTTGATCAAATGTCATTTTACTGCTGAACTTTTCACTATCAGCTGGTTGGTGATTAATAGTATTTCTGCCCTTTTATTAATCAAAGGCAATAATTGAACCTTAACTTAATTTTCCAATCCTCGTGTGCATCTATTTCTGTGAAAGTCTACTATATTTTCGAAATTCTTAATATTTTTGAAATTCTTAGTAATTGAATGTGACAGTAGAATCCACCGAATAAATAATTCCCATTATTTATTTCAATACTAACAGCATATCCAATAGGAATCTGTAACTATTCTTGTAAACAAACACAATCCGACAGAAACCCTAGTTTAAAGATTCCACAACTTGATGGAACGAGACCTCTCGGGCACAAGTGGATGCTAGGGGTGAGATTGAGAGAGAGATGTCACAGGCTCAAAGACTCTTGCCCAGTCAAATAAAGAGGAGACAACTGTGACAATTGTGGCCCTTCCGACCTTTCTCATTCGAAACATGAGTTATTACATTCACGATACGACTGTGTCAACTTCTATTTTAATGAAAAAAGTTTCCAAGATTCTCTTCCTTCAATCTATTGAAACACAGAAAATTAAGAACATATTTGCTACTTTTTTTGTTTTTTATATTTTTTGTTCTTTTCGAGTTTTGTAACAAAAAATGTCTTTGATAAAAAAAAATAATAAGAAATTTATTTTGTATTAATTGTACGAAAATATTTAATAAATAATAGCCAAGATCAATCCTATTTTTACATGTTTTTGCGCCATAGCAATAGTATTATAGCAATAAACAGTGCCAAGAAAAAAAGAAAATTTTTTTTTCTCTAAAGCGACCTCTTTAAACTAGCTATCATATTTTTAAAATTTATAATATATTTTTACCAAACATATTTTTATATTTAAGCTTTCAAAGAACATATTTTTAATTACTATTTAAAACACTATATAATAAAACACTTATTTTATTTCGAATTAAAATAAAAACGCAAAAATAAAACACGTGGCCTGTTATTTGGACATTCTTTAAAGTAGTAAGTGTAATTATCTCTTTATGTTTTGAATTGAATTTTCGTGGATGGATCTTAGGATTGGGATTTTGTCTTTTAAGTTGATTGAAAAATCAAATCGTCCTTATATGATATATCTACATATGTGGTTGTGATTAATTCTACATCAACATGTGAATAAGGCAACAACCCAAAGGATTAGAACAAAAAGGTTGTGCCTAGTTGCAATTCACGAAGGAATGAAACAAAAGTTAAGAAGTTCTGACTAGTCTACGGATCGCCTTTATGGACCAGGATTTCCTTAGTTAAAATATCTCTCCATTGATAAGTTGAATTATTGTAAACTTGACAAATAGCATGGTATACAAATTCAAGACTAATAATGCACTTCATTTCATTTAAAAAAAAATACTTGACATCTAAAATATTATGGAGAACAAATTTATAAACAGATGACTTCCGTCACCACCCCTCCCACTCTCTGTGCAGATCAAACCTTGGGCACAAGTTATTCAATCTAAATTGAATCTAATGTATAACACATATATACAAACATGTATAATGATAGTGCATGGGAAGTGGGAACTCGAATTCTGATTGTAGATTTCAAATTCCTTTCTCTCCTCACTGTTCGTACACAAATTATTCTTTCTTAAATTTTATTTTATTTTTTTCAGAAATTTTTGGTGCACAAGTTCTTTAATCGAAAAATTCAATATATTATATATACACAAACATGTATAATAGAATGAAATTTTGCATGAGAAATAGAAACTTGAATTAGTAGAGTGCTGTGAATTACAAGCAAGATCAGGCTGATAATATCGGCAGTAAGATTGTGACCTCCGACGATGACGATCAAAATCTGATGAATTCAGCCAATGAATTTGAAAATTGGAGGCACGTAACAAAGACATGTTAGATGGGGTTTCTTTCTATTACCTTAAAACAAGGTCACTTTTATAATTTAAATTAATTATTTGATGTGGTACAATATATGCCCTAGATATCATTAATGTGCCACTTGATAAATATCTATCCAATTCAACTTATGTTAATGTAAATAATTTTTAATTTGGAGGATCCAAGTCCCTCATTTATAGTGTTACTTTTGCTAAACCAACTACTAAAGTCACATCTTATACTCACTCTATACGATATGGGATTTATGATTTTGTAATCATTAACGTTTAATTACTGGAACAGTGGGACTTTTAGATTCAATTGGGTATGGGATTCAAAGAAACAATGACATATGACAAATAACCCTTTTATGGAAATTCTTAATAGTAAGCATACAATGCTAAACATAAAGAAGCACACATTAATGCCATTACAATTAGTCATTTTGGAAAGGATATATAAACTCATAAACCATTTTAATAAAGAACACTAATCAGATTATTTTTGAAGATAAAAACATCCATATATCTTAGAGCATAGCTAACTGTTGAATATTAATTGGATACGCATACGAGTGTGATTTGGAAGTGTATGATTTCTTGGCAAGAACGATGTTTGCAACTTCAGTGGGATGAAAGGCATCCCAAAACAAATACTTCCGGCGGTCGTCGCAAGCTTGTTGGAGAGGAAGACATGTTATCTGCCCATTATTCCTTCCCACCCCACAACATCCTTTGTCTACCACTTCGAATCCTGCATCATATATAGAATTTATAATCAAGTCATGAATATATATATATATATATATATATACACACTTAGATAGTATTGCCAAATTTAGGGTGATATAAGGTAGGTAGGTATTACCATAAGAGCGTGCATTAAGCACAAGGTCTTTGGTGCTCTGGTATGAATCCAGAAATACGAAGTTTGCTGCAGGCAACTGCCCCTTATTAAAACGATCGACCATTTTCCGGAGGCCGGAGTTGAAGAGAATAATTGCTTTATTTATATCTTCATTGCACCTGCTGCTGCTATTGTTACTGTTATACCGAGCAAGCTGATAAGGTATGCAACCGATTTGACCAACTGCTGTTACAACTACTTTACGAGCTCCGAAGTTGTATAATTGCTGAAGATTTAATGACATATACAATCAATCTCTTGTTCATCAATGAGCAAAAAAAAACTCTCTTTATACCAAGTATAGTGACGGTTAGATATGATATAGTGTAATAATTAATATATATGTATATAAAACTGACCGTTAGCTGGCGGGAATAGTCCTGGAGGAGTGCAGCAGCAAAAGCGTTTATGGTATAATCGGAACCAGTTGAATAGAAGTCGGGCATAAAGTAATTGTTCAAATAGTCATTGCTTCCCATTCCAGAATAGAAAATGCACTTGCTGAGATAGCTATTCAGTGCATTAAAATCTCCCCTGAAGTACCTACTCATTTGTTGCACCGCTCTACCGAAGTTGGCAACCTGCTGGTTCATCGACATGTGATCACCCTGCATGGATCCATATAATACATCAATTTTACTAATATATATATATGTGTGTGTGTGTGTGTGTGTGTGTGTGTGTGTGTGTGTGTGTTTGGGGAATGTAAAGCAAGTATTTTGATGGTATAAATTTTAATAATATGTTCTATGTAAAATATCATCCATGAACAAGAAAAGTGGTACATTATCCTCTCCTAATTAATTTATTGTTGCTTGCAATTTTATAAGTAGTATATGAACTGACTAAGACTATGGCCATAAAGAATGAAAACACGAGATTCATGTTTTGGCAATATCAAGTAATTGGGAAAAAGGTTGATTGTTGTTATTGTTGCACTTGTATAAATAATTTATATATACCAGATTGTTGCCAGTTTCATCTCGAATGCCAGATGCTCCTGATGCAAAATTTGCTCCTCTAACTAGTGCGCTGCCCCGAGTTCTTGCATACGGCGGAATGTAATTTGGGAACCCTAAAAGTTGAGCTGCATGCAAATATCAATCAAAAACAACAAAAAATCAACTGCAGTATAATATATATATATATATATATATATATATATCTATATCTTGCAAGAGACTTGAGATTAGGTTACCGAGTTACTGGAGCCTATATATATATATATATATATATATATATCTTGCAAGAGACTTGAGATTAGGTTACCGAGTTACTGGAGCCGAAACCGTAGGGGAAAACCTAGCCGAACATTACATCGCTTGGTTGCAATGAAAGTGGACCCTCCATTGCACTCAACAGATGCAATGGAGTGTGGCTAGTTTTAGAGCCTTTGAAACACATATAATAAAGGAAAAATAATATAACATCCCAAAGTCAAACGTATTTGACTGTTTTATATGAAAGGAGAATGACGTCATCATATAAACATTACAATAATTAATTACCAAGAACATCTACATATGTTCGACCATTGGTGAAGCGACCAGTGGTGCCTTGTGGAAAGTCGATGCCGTAAGGCCTATAGTTGGCCCTTGCAAGAGTAAGTATCCCATTGTTGTTACCATTGTCAACCAATGAGTCACCGAAGATGAAGAAACAAGGCACTTGGGCCTCTTGGGAACAAGCCCTCCCTGCTAGTATTGTTAACCACAACAAATAAACCACCAAAACATATTCACTCAAAACAGCTCCACCACTCCCCATATATATATATATGTATGTGTGTATATATATATATATGTATGTGTATATATTTGTTTTAGTGATTGATTGAATACAAACACTGAAAGCTTCCTTCACTGATATCTACATTTTATAGTAGCAGTAGTGCTAGGCTATACTAGCTAGTAATTAATGTTACCTCCTCTACTATTGTAAAGGGATTCATGGGCATGGTATGAATGATATATATAATATAACATTGCTATATATGGTGTCTATATATATATATATAGCCCGTGAGTGTAATGCATTTTACACTTAAGGTACTTAGCTTTTTAGTTGTTCATCATGGGTTACTCGATCCATCTCTTTCTCTGAAGCTGCTAGCGGTGATATATATTTGATATCTCGTGAGCGATAAAGTAATACGTACAGACGTCCCTATTGAGTGGAAATATAAAACAATAGCATGTTATATATATTAATAGGCTCCATATAAAACTGCCAGTTAACATTTAATTAATGGTTCTCCCCGCCTATTAAAGTTTTCTTAACTTGACCAAGAAATGCAAAGGGAGGAGACAGAGTAACGCTATACATCTCCAATTAAATTTGATTTATATATATATATATATATATATATATATTGAAACTAACATTGCAATAGTTAAAAAACTACAAATGGCATTTGCTTTGGTATACGTTACACCGGAGCCCCTTACTTGATTTAATCAATGTTATTGGTGTTCACACTCGACGTCTCTATGTTTGATTCCCCCTTCTGAAATAGTCAACGAAATTAATACAAACACGCTCATAAATTAAGAACGCATAAAAGAATTTCTGATAAATTTTCATGTATCTTATGCCTCTATATATCTCATCTATAATGATGGATCTCCAAATTCAAACTTTCATCTTGATTGCAAAGTATTGTATCAAATTGTAATTAGTGTTGCTTGAGGGTTAGAGTATTTACACCGAGGTTGTAGTAGAAGGATGGTTCATTTTGATATAAAACCTCAAAACATTATTTTGGATGATAATTTATGTCCCAAAATTGCTGATTTCGGCCTTAATAGATTGGGCCAGAAGAGAGAGAGAGTATTATGTGGATGGTAGGTGCAAGAGAAACAGTTAGATACATTGCTCTTGAAGTGTTTAATTTATGAGAATTTGGGAGGGGTGTCTCATAAATCTGATGTCTACTAGTCAGAATGATGGTTCTTGAAATGGTTGGTGGAAAAAAAAATATTGGAGCCGGAACAGTTCATTCAAGTGGAGTATATTTTCCGGATTGCATTTACGCACAGATGGAATACAATGAGGATCTTAATGGCGTTACAAATGGCGAGGAAAAAGAAATTAACAAGAAGGAAAATGAGCATAGTGAGATTCAGACTAATCGTCCATATATCATTGACTACTGTGGTAGAAATATTGGAAGGAAAGCTTCAATCCTTACAAATTCCACCTAAACCCATCCTATCCTAGATTGGAACAAAATACTTCTGTATTATTACCGCCAAGTTCTAGTACCGACTAAAACAAAGTGTTTTCAACTTGAATATGGAAGAACAACATCCATGGGTTCTACGGTTTTCCATTTTCCTTTCGGTGTGCTATTGGCTTGATACTGATATATAATGTTCGTTTTTTCCCTCTTATCTTATCTTGAATTGCAGCAAATGTAGAATGGTTACTACAGCAATCTTGTAATGCTCATTACTTTTCCAGAATGTCAAGTGATTTATGCGTAATAGATTTTCTAGAAATCTACAGTGAGCCCACCCACCATGACTTTCCAGTCAATCTAATAAACAAAATGTGTACCCTACACTGGCCGCGCCATTACTTTCCAGTCAACCTACAGAACTGTTGATTGATTATGGTTCAGTCACCCGATTAGATAGGTGATTGTCCTACAACGGTCGCGCTACGCTAATGCTCTAAAATGGTCCTACTGCAAATTAATTTCTTTGACGTTTCTCTCACCGCCTTTTGAAAAAAAATGAACAATGATCTTGAACCGGCCACATGTTTGTCATCATTAATTGTGGAGTAAAGTGCCTGAACTTTACTCTCTCTCTCTCTCTCTCTCTCTCTCTCGCTCAAAACCTTCCTAAATTATTTTTGTTACAGTTAACCCCCTAAATTATCAATTTTTTTGCAAAAATTACCCATCCCTGAAATTCAGTTTGTTTTCTCCGGCCAATTAGGCGCGTGATGAACACATGCCAGCCCTCTATTTTTAAAATTACAAAGCTACCCTTATACTATTAAGTGTATAAAATAAAAAAATAAAAAAAAAACCCAAATTATTGAAACCCTAAAAATCGAGACTTCTTTCGCCGTTTTGCAAGATCTCTATGAGCCACACAACTGTCACAAACCAAACCTGTACACGCAGAGAGAAATATTGTAACAGAGCTTATCTACCAAACCAAATATAAAGAAAGCTTCAACAAGCTCAACAAAACCTTCGTTTCTCTCACTATAAATCAAAGAAATTTCACTTCTAAGGGTTTGTAGATCACATACAGTGCTTCAATTTGTGAATCTACAATGCCTTGCAGTTGCAGATAATCAAAACGGTGAACATCGACGATTTGCAAGCGTAGGGTTCGAATGGGCAGAGGCAAGGCTTCAATTGCTGCTGTAGATTTCACTATTTCGCGTTGCCAGGAAGAAACAGAGGAGACCCAAATGGTTTACAGAGAATTAGAGGTATAGATTAAGGATTAGTGTTTACTAATTTGGCCCCAATAAAGTGAGAAGGTTTTAACCAAGTGATAAATTTAATCATAGAAATTGATTTTGGCATTGAACTATGTTTTCTTATTACATGGTTGATTTGAACGTAGCGAATGAAGTATGTGTGGATAAGATAGATTGGTGGAGATTAGGTTAAGCTAAGTTGCAGAGATTTATTTATTTAATTTTTTTTTGGTCGAATAAGTTGGAAAGAGGGATGTATATATATATATATAGTGAGAGAGACGTTCAGTGAGGACTAAGGAGAGACGATATATATATGTGTGTGTATATATAGAGAGTGAAAGATGTGAGAGAGAATAGACGTGGTGTTTAGGTAGGTTAGGTGTTTTGACTGACCAGCATCAAGAATTTTGAAAATCAAGGATTGCAGATGGGTAAATCATATAGTATAAATGATTCCTCCGCTTCCACCACTCTGATCCCAACAATCAATTCCTTGGCTTCATCTACGCTTTCAGTCAATCAATTCGCGGCCACGAGATCTCCTATTCTTAGAACTGTTTTCGGCCACTCCTATCAAAATGAAAGTTTTTCCATTAAAACCGGTGAGAGCGCAGCCTCAAACTCCATTACCGCCGACGCCGATGAAAAACTCTAAGAATCAACAAGCAGCGAAACTGGTGAGAGCCAACCTCAAACTCCATGATCGCCGGCACTAAGTGAAGTCTCATTCCAGTGAACCACAAACAAACGTTTTTTATGAGAATCATACAGACCCAAGGCGACACCTTTTTGGTCGACAATGTCGTCAACGGTGGGAAAACTAGAGCGTAGAGAGAGAGAGAAAGCCTTGTGGATAAGGCCGTGTTTGGCGCGCTGAAATGAGTGATGGTTTGGTGATAAGGATGAGGTAGATAAGGCCGTGTTTGGCGCGCTCAAAAGGGTAATATTGTAATTCTCTTTTTTTGGTGCCGGAGACCTCACCTGATGTCCTTAACTGCAACTTTATCATAGTTCAGGGGGGCAATTGTTAATTCAGGGGGGTTTTGTGCAATTGGCTAAAAGTTCAGGGGGTTTTTTGCACTTTACCCTTAATTGTATTTTAGATAGACGAAAAATGGTAAGAAAAGAAAGGAAGTGAAAATTTTCTTTTTAGGTGGTGTTGTTTGAGCGATGAATGTTTAGATTTTTAGTATTCATTTGGATGAATATGAGAGAGAAAAGATGAAAAAGAGGATAATTTTAGTTATGAAAAAGAACAAAAGAATTCGGCATTCTAAGGTGCAGAAGGGAAAAGAAAAGAAACAATGATAATTAAATTTTTTTTTTTCTTAGTTGGTACTCACATACACATTGCCTCTACTGAGGCTTATACCCTTGACATCTCTTTGGAAAGTAAGGGCCTGATACCGCTAAGCCACCAACCCGTTAGTAATGTTAATGGTAACTAAATTACTATCATACTTCATCATTTGATTTTGGATTTCATTCCTTTGGAATTTTTTTTTCTGGTTCTCTCCTATCCTTCTGCTATTCTAATTTCTATCCAACTAGAATAACATAAATAACAAAAAGATAAGGTAATATTTAATCAATTCTTATATATTAGTAAAACCTATCCCATCCAAAATTACATTCTTCATAGCCAGTAATTCAGAACCACAATGCCAGCATTAAAACTTCAACTATGTTCTTCATTAATTTTGCTTTATAAAACGATATAATAAAACATCAATCGGCCAAAAAATCAATAATTAGCAGACCCAAATATGATATGCTTAAAGAGAAGCAATCAACAATTCAACCACATATACATAGTTAACTATTTCCCAACCTACATTGTCGGTGTGTGCAAAAGCCAAACAAATGCTTTTATTTAAAATGACAAAAATGGAAAAAGTGAGGTGAGTTACATGCGTGAAACCAAAACATAGAACTCAAACTTCGAATGCAAAGAACACAAAGGAAAAGAGAGCTCAAACGGTGTCGGTGAGTTTCTTGTGCGACTCAAACACGCTCTTTTGATCGTGTATCCAATTATGGTGAAGGATCACCTCGTCTCACAGTGGTCCATTTTCTCTTTTTGGAATAAGTGGTAAGAATGTGCCACATCAATTAAAAATATTGGGTAACTATTTTTTCACCACCCATCTTTTAAATTGTATATTATATATATTAAAGCTTTAAATATTATATTCCATATGTATATATATACATTGTCTTCCTTTCTCTCTTTAAAAGTTTCATCTGCTTTCATTAATAGACTCTCCAAGGACTCACAACAATTTCTGAATTTCAAAGCATCACTCCAAAACCCCAAACACACTCCAAAACTGGCTTCCCAACAACAACTCATGTAATTTCATTGGAGTATTATGCAGAAACTCCATTGTATCATCCATAGATCTAAACTTTGTTTATCTAAATCTCGATTTTGTGTCTATTTTTTCTTATCTGATTACTCTTCCCAATTTGTTGGGATTTTATGTATAAC